CAAGCCACGATGAAGTACGAAAATTTCGGGAGTTGTCCAAATCAGCTCGCGTGACAATTAAATGGGTTCCCGGGCACTCAAGAATCCAGGGTAACTTGGAAGCCGACTCGGCCGCCAGGTCTGGCCTACGAATGCTGCCGAGCCCGGAAATGCATCCAGAATCCATCACTCTGGCATTTCTTTATGGCCAAATGAATCGTCTGCGGCAGGCGTTACTCGACGATTGGTGGAACGAAGCTTGCCCGCCCCGATATCGCAAGCTCGACCTGCTCATGCGACGAAGGAAACCACCTGAGCTGGGACTTTCGAGGTTCCTACTCCGAAATCTGATTGCAGCTCGTACTGGACATGGCAATTTCGCGGCGCATCATCGCCGTTTCAACAATCTGGACGCTATAATGGAGTGCGCCTGTGGGGAGGAGACCACTCCTACCCATTTTATTCACTGTCGACTACACGCTCACGTCACGCGTCGACTCAGAGGGAGATTGTCATATAGTGGCTTTATCCAAAAACTTCTCGGGCCAAAGTGTCACGAATTTTTCAAAATCTTTGAGAAGGAAACCTGCTGTTTTGGGTTGCCATCTACAAATTCGTCCTCTGATCTCATCGGGGACAATATAAATTAGTCATACAGATGATATGACAGGAAGGAAGACAAGTCGAGGAGATTTGTTTCCGAACCAGAGATTGGTAAATCTACAGAGCTGGATAGTTTTGTGGTTAGGAGTTTGGTTTTTTAAAGGTTGAATTTTTGTACCAGTGCGAATTTTATACTAGCTACTATTTGTGTAGTGGTTCAAGCGGTGGGATCAAGTTTGGCTTATCAGGGATATGATCTTGGCTGTGAACATCGGTCTTTGACCCTTAGGGGATAACGGGTATAGCCTAGGACCTAAATTAATAAACAAAATTAATAAACATGCATTACACACTAAATACCCCACGGTTTAGTTCCACAGTCACGTGCATATGTTATGACGCGACCTAAAGCATGTACCATGGTAAGTTACATGGATAACACAACAGTTTAGGATTACATCTTGGCTACAACATGTTTGGATTGTATCCTGTGATGTAAGTAAGCTATTTCTAGATATTATCATCATAAGTCAGGTAGTAGATATGTGTAGATATATAAGCTGAGAGAAAGAGAAAGACAGACAGACAGACAATTACATCTTTTTATTTCACTTCAATTGAAAGCTCCTGTGCGAGCTATTCTTCCAGATACCTCTAGTCTCAATCATTACAGCTTCCGAACTAGCTCAAAAGGTTCGACAGGACTTAATCAAATTTTCAATAATCCTAAACGCACCCAACTGAAGCTTGAAGGAACTGGAGGGCAGAGACTTAACACTTGCATGCGGTCTTTTCTACGAGCCTGAGGGTGAAATATTCCCCCTAACCAAGGTTCAGTTGAATTTGGCAATAACGAAAAAATAGCCCACCATGTTATGATTCACTACTCTCAACCAACTCCATAGTTCGCTCTCAAGTTAGTAGAGGACACGGCGTACTCAGTTCTTTTTGCATCAGATTTTAATTGCGTATGCAGCTATCTAGCTATGACATAATATCAGAGAAGTGTATAATATATTACTCAATTTAAAAGAATAGCACTCATGCCTCGGATTTCATTTGCAAGTACCACTGCGAAACTATGGTGACTTTTTCTTCACCCCAAGTCAACCCTCATCCGTGAATACCCGCCCAGGGGAACGTAGATAGGAACATGTAGACAGCGGATCAGAGGCAAGAGATATGGGCGTGCTATTCAGGCTAAGGTTTGCCATCTTTTTTTTTTTTTTGCATCAGATTTTAATTGCGTATGCAGCTATCTAGCTATGACACAATATCGGAGAAAAGTACAGAAAAGATGACTCAATTTACAAGAGAAGCACTCATGCCTCAGATTTCATTTGCAAGTACCACTGCGATGTTATGGCGGCTTTTTCTTCACCCCAAGTCAACCCTCATCCGTGAATACCCGCCCAGGGGAACGTCTCAAAAACCCTGAGTTATTCAGACATGCCTCCGTCATCCATCAACTTTTCTCCGCGCGAAATGTAATCTGAGATGTCTCTTTCCCAAGTGGAGTAGTTGCCCAGGCTACTTAAACTATACCAGAGAACACCACCAGGAGGCGGATCACAACACCCTCCATCGTCGGCTTGTTTTTATGGTGTCAGCTGCACTTTCGCAAGCGAAGTCCTGGCGAGCACAAAGCTCAATTCGTAAAACTCTTGTCAAAACTCGAAATTTCACGCCCGTCGAGAATGTATCCCTCTTCTGCATCATCTTGTAAACTTGTCCTGATCCCTCTCACGTCCATCCCAAAGAACTATCTCCCAGATTTGTGCGCCACACTTTGCTTCCTCCGTCGGGTATAAATATCGGCGTGGGCGTGTATTTGGCGGTCAACTAAGGCCAGAGAAAGTCGACTAGAGGTTTGATCATTGGGGTGAGGATGTACTATGTCGTACTTGTAGACTTGATGAAGCTTAATCGAGAATCGGACTCTTTGGGAATGAAAGATTGACGTGGTGGAGTAATTTGAAATTTTGCCTCGTGGGCCAACTTCTTTGATATTGCGAAATTTGACTGAACTTGGCTCTGCGGGAATATTTCACTCCCAGGTTCGTAGAGGACACCGCGTACAGGTATTCAGCCTTGCCCTCCAAGGTTTGCCATCGTACATTGGGCATGGGATAGTTGCAAAATTACTCGGCCAAAAGGCCAGACCAGAATCATTGGACACAAAGTTTTGGTTATCTCCACGTATATAGATTATACAGAAGGTAATCCCAATAGACAAGAGCTTACGGAATATGTGTTATCTGATGGCTTTGAGATTTTTAATAAGCCGACATGAAATGCAGATATCTTGGTTTCCAGAGCTATTTAAATTTACCAGGTTAAAAAGTTATCTTGTAAATACATCTGTGTCACTCGACTTCCGAATTATTTTCTCAAAGAAATATCATAAAAAGTTCCAGTATCATCTGTCTGGAAGTATTACCTAAATATTCTTTCCACACAGTGCTCTTTTTGGGTTACGTTAAGTGATGTCGATTGACCTAACGAGTCTGAATATCAAGACATAAGCTTCTTCCTGCCTATAGGCCAAGAGTATTTTTCTCTCGGGCAGTTTATTCTCACCTATGCTTCTTTTGTGGCTTCTTTACAGCAGTAATATCCCCACAGGTCTTCATCTAAGTACAAATTGAATGGAGCTATTGTCCCGTCACGATCTCTCTTAATGAAACGAGAGATATTTGCTGGTGTGTGGCAAGAGGAGAAATTCCTAAAAACTGCTTGTTGCGGGACTCTTTTTAAGTCGACCGGAGGACTAAATCCGAAGACATGGCTATTACTCTAAAGCGTTCAGAGAACAACTAGGCGGGGACAGCTGAATTGTGAATGCTTGAGATCGTCTCCCAACCTTCCTAGCTTCCTAATTACTACGCCCCAGCTCCGTAACTGAAGAAAAAGTTTATGTCATGAAAAGATCTCAGTAAATAATTGATCGAGATCGACTGCCACGAAGGAGCATAGCGTTCAAAAGTCGTTACGGACATGTTGCTGTCGAGTAACTCATATAATTTAGATGTCATACTGGTTACAATGGTGGAGATTAAAGGTGTTAAGAGATGATTTTGTTGACGGGATGAAATCATTTTTGAGGGCTTGAGGGCCCTTACCTTTTATTTCATTGACCTTTTTTTAGCTAAATGTAGGTAGCTTATATTAAGACATGATGATAGTTTCTCTGACTACGTTTATAGTGTTTGGAACCGAAAAATTTTCCACCTTCACAGGGCCATTTTATTATCCCAATCTTCGTCAGAAATATCGGGAGCGAATAATAGAGCGAGGCGGTGACATTTCTTCTTAAAGTTGAAAAGTTATTACTCAATCTCGGCTCTGCATACTCCACGGTAAGAGATGGAGGGTTGAAGTTAACACTGCTGAGAGACGACAGTTGATTTTGGGCTGGCAATCCTCAACATTTATGGAAAGCCGCAAATATTATTACAGATGAGACAACAGGCAGAAAAAGGATTACATATAGAAACACACCCTCAAACATCCACCGAAACCTTAGTAGGGCCCAAAGCAGTATTGCAGTTCAGATAAGAAGTGAGCATATTGGTCTTAATTCTTATCTGTATCGAAGGAAAGTTCCCGGAGTAATTGATCCAAAATGTCAGTGTGGATATCCGTCTCAAAATGTCAAACATATGGTCTTGGCGTGTCCTCATTGGGCCATGGGAAGAGGAGAGGTGCTTCAAAAGGCAAAAGACAGGTCATTTGCGGCAATGATGAACAGCCCAGATGATATAGAGAGAATAACAAAATGGATCCTGGCAAAAGGCTGGTTTGAACAATTCCGGCTTGCAGGAGAAGTAGAAATAGCATTGGACGAAAGGATGAGACGGATTTCACACTGTACAACCAGTGTAATCGCATTTCCTGTAGGAAACCTCAGAAACAAAATAGACACGAGACAGACAGTTGTAGGGGGTTTTTACCGAATATGGTTTCCTCCTGTGTAAATATTATAGCTAGTTATACCTGCATGGGCCCATAGGGTACCTGAACGGGCTAAATTAAATCAATTCCAAATAATTAACATTTCTCTTTTTGAATACTTGAAAAACTTACTCGTCACCTGATTTAAGCATTGCTCATACCTGAGCCTCTTCGGTTAATTCATTAAAAGTGTCATCATGCTTAACTTCATCGTATCGATATTTTCGTGTTTGCGAATTGTTGTGTTGTGCAAACAATCAGTATGACACTGAGATATTTCTCATAGCTTGTGTCAATAGGTATCCATCTGTTTTCGATTTTAATCCTAAAAACAGCGTTATTCGACATTTCCCATGCGCTCACGACTTGAACGACAAGGCTGGAGAGAAGGCTATCGAGACTGAATTAAGGTCCATCCTCAACAGAACAAAGGTGTCTGAGGAAAGCTGATAGTCTTTTTCAACATGATGCATTGGAGAGGAGAATCTTCGGTGAAGGGAAGCACTGAGAGCATGAGAATGGCCCTCCTAACTTTCTCTTTAGTAGGCTTACAGTATGTGCAAAGCCCCCAGCTCTACTTAGAATCTAGCTTATCTCTCTAATTAGGTTTACCTGGGGAATTGAAATGACCTGTAAGACTCATATTTCTCGGCCAATTTCGTATTAAAAAACGCGAGATGGACCCTAGATGAAGCTTACCCACAGTTAGACTGTACCCCATACTTACTCGCTCTTGGACTCAGCAAATCTCATACTTCCCTTGTATGGATCGCAGGTCCCATATCCGGCCTTATTATGCAACCAACGATTGGAGTCATTGCTGATAGATCTACCTCGAAATACGGTAGACGACGGCCGTTTATGGTAGTGGGATCTTTAGTGGTAGTCTTGTGCCTTATTTGCTTAGGATGGGCTAAAGATATTGCTTCTTTGATTTTTGAAGATCCCGATAAAAAGAAATCTATGACAATATTTCTAGCAGTTCTAGCAATTTATGGAGTAGACTTTGCTATTAACGCCGGTGAGACGGAAATTAAGATCATATGGGGTGCAAAACTGATTTGGACTACAGTACAGGCTTCATGTAGAGCCTTAATTGTGGATACACTCCCAATGAACAAGCAGCAATTAGGAAGCGCATGGTGTAAGTTTCGCGAAATAATAATAGCGCTTGACTCAGACTTTACAGGTAGTAGAATGGTGTCTTCTGGACATTTAATCGGTTACGCGATCGGTACCCTGGATCTTGTGAGGATTTTTGGGACAAGCTTTGGAGATAGTCAGTTTAAGCAGCTGATAACAATAGCTGCGATAGCCCTTCTATTCACCATCAGCGTTACATCTTGGGCCGTCACGGAAAAGGTTCTCGTCTCAAGCAATAATACGGATGTGCCAATCAACTTTGTGAGAATAATTACAACCGTCTACAGAGCTACTGCATCTCTTCCCCCGCGTATCCAAGCTATTTGCAATATTCAGCTCTGGAGCTGGATCGGCTGGTTTCCTTTTCATTTTTATAGCACTACCTTTGTCGGCGAGATTTATTTTCGATATGATGCTCCTAATGAGGTAAAATCTTCGCCAGACGCTCTGGGAGATATTGGACGTAGAGGCAGTCTAGCACTCGTAATATTTTCCTTAGTCAATCTCATTGGAGCTCTATTAATGCCACATTTTGTCAAGTCATTGGATCAGGAAAGCTTCACCCACCGGCCCCCAGCAGCAATCGCCGGAATTCTGGAGAAATTTAACAAAAACAAGCCAGACCTTCTAACTGCTTGGACTTGCGGGCACATTCTCTTCACCTGCACCATGGTCTTCGCACCATTTGCTCACTCCTTCCGAACAGCTACTTTTCTTGTAGGTATATGTGGTCTTTCTTGGTCGCTAAGCTCCTGGGCCCCTGGATCATACTTAGGTATGGAGGTAAACCGACTGTCTTCTCAGCCACACCATTCCTCTCCTCATTTACAGTCGCAATCAATACAACTCGAAAAAAGCCACTCACTTGAAAAAGGAAACAGAGAATCAAATCACTCTCAGGGAGAGGTATCAGGACTTTACTTCGGCATTCTAAATATTTATACAACAATTCCTCAGTTTATTGGTACGTTTATTAGCATGATTGTATTTGCTATACTTGAGCCGGGAAAGAGCCAGGAATTAAGTCAATATTCCAATGATTCTCTGACTCAGCAGCAAAATCAAAAGCAAGGACCCAATGCTATTTCAGTCTGTTTGCTAATTGGCGCTGGCTCTATGGTTGGGGCAGCATTTGCAACCCAAAAGTTAAAGCGCCTGTACCGTAGTACAGAGCTAGATTAAAACCAAATATAAAGTAAGTAAAAAAGATTTACGCTATTCCTGCCCTGTTAGCTTCTCAGTGATTGATGAAATTATTTTTTTGAGTGATGTAGAAAGGTAAAGAAATTAAATTGAGCGATTCACAGTTCCTAAATAAACACCAGGGTATTTATTGCAGTTGGGGTACTTGGCGCTTCAATCCACTAATAATTAAGCCTCGAATCATAACCTATGATTCCAAATTTATAGCAACTAGCTATATCGAGATCTGCTCGTGTATAGAATCAGCATTCTGGCTTGGTATACCATACCAAAAGCTGATCAGCCTACTATGATTCTTTCCATTCTAGAGAGCCTCATCCGGTGGGAATATCAACAACTACCCGACGCTCTGACGCGCCGTACAGCACCCAGAAACTAGAAAGAGTCTAACCAGCTATCCGCCACTCTGACATCCGATGTGTATGCGACCAATTTCCGTCTATTAGAAATGTACATCTATTTTACAAGTAGTTTGAAACCACATCCGCGGATTGCGAAATAGTAGAGAGAATTTCCAATCACACATAATACAGAAGATAATGATAACAAATCCTTTTATCTCAAATCAATTCCACGCAAATTTAAATTTTCACAGAAAATATCCAGTAGGCTCGTTATACTTGGTTGGAAATTTTCGCCACCTCGACCAATTATTCGTAGACGAGGGGAACTCTAGGCGTGCCAGGTACCAATCTGATGTCGGGGCAGGGATTCCGATGTCCATCGCTAATGCGGACATATCTTCTTCCTATGCTACAGTGAAAGAAATGATCGGGACTGTTTTCCTCGCCGTACAAGCAATTTACAAGGGTACCTTCGTGTGAAAACTACCAGTAGTAATGGGCAAAATCTTCGTGTCCAGAATGGGCTGCAATTAGCACTATAAACGCGTCTGCATAATACAAATAAATTGAAAAAAAGTAGAATTTAGTAAGGTGCGACGGGAACATCATTTTTAACAAAGAGCTTCGCTCCGTCCCAAGCTGCCTTTATCATCAATTTGACATCGTAAATCAAATTTTTCTATCTTCTTTACCCTCCCCCCATTATCTTGCTTTCCGTGCTCCAACATGGCAGGTGTAGATGCTGGTGTGGGTAAATCCAGCTGTTTCGACGCGTCGCAAAAAGCGACAATAGCCAACAACAACAGCAGCGGAGCGCAGATAGCTTCAAAGGATAAGAATTTAGAAATTCTGGGGACACAATTGAAACAGATTAGACTAATCGTGATGGGAGAGATTGATGAGGAGAACCCACCATCTATGGAGGCTGTTAACGAAGTCGTGAAGGCACTCAATGCTCACAAAAGGGCCTGGACTGAAATGTTCTAGAAGATGTCTCCAATAAAGGAGAAGATGATGGCGTTAGAGGAGGTTGTCAAGAAGAGCCTCGTGGATCCTGCTCGAAAAGCTGCTCCAGCAGTGACTTCGGGCGCGCCGACACCAAGGAGCTACGCGTCGGTCGTAGTCTCGTAAATTTCGAAAACGGCGATACGAATTTGTCGATAACCTAGAGTTTGTAACACTTTCTTGAATCGTTCTTGAATCCTTTTGGGATTCAGCACTACATAATATATAAGTACAAACAGCTTTACATCATTACATCATTAGGGTCTATTTTACATGACACACCCCCTCTTTTCCCCTGCAACATTAGCTGATACCGACGCAATGAAAACTAGCTGATGAAAGATCTATTACTATAAACCAACAGAATTAGAATTGATGAGATCAATAAACTGCAGCCTGAAGAGATGCCATCAAAAGCAAAACAACACATCGACGGCGCATACGCGATTCGAAAAATTCGGGGCAACAATACCAAGGTGTTCATCCAGTTGGCGTCCTAGAGAGACACGGCGCTAAATATGCGATAACAAACTGAATTTATAATCTTGCGGCAAGATTTTCCAGTCGAGGTCAACGGTGTCCAAGTGTGGACACTAATCGAAGGGGGCAGAGATGACAATAATTACGGCATCATCCGAGAGATGAAGAGGGCAACAAGGGCACGAATTCCAGGTCTTTCGTTCAATTTAATACGATGGTTACATGACGGAAGAGAACACCAGCAGTCAAAGAAAAATGGCCGCACTCACGAAACAATAGTGTTTAGCCTCCTATCTGAGGCATTGCAAACGGAAGTAGTCCGAAACGGCCTAGTAATGAACGCTATGCTCTTCACCGCGCAGGTATAGTTATCACGGTCCCAACCAAAGTAGTGCTTTAACTGCAGCCAGTGGGGACACACTAGCGTCGTGTGGAAAGACTGCTAGGTGCGGTGAGTGCGCTGGTGTTCATCGAACTCGGGACTGTCCGGGGAAAAGGATTTGTTGTGCGAACTGCGGCAAGGAACATCGTTCGTGGCAGAAAGCAGCGTGTCAGTCCATCCAGGTCTACAGGGGAAGTGTGGAGAATGCTCGGATGGAGCTGCTATCGATAACGGCGGAAACATGGAATGAAGCCCCTACAATGGCACCAACAATCCCCGCCACAACAGCACCACCATCGGGGCCAACTCTTCGAGCACTTCGACGACCAACGCCGAGTGAGGAAGTGCCTTCTCTATTTAATTTCTCATAGGGTTAGTCTGATCGAAAGGTGTTGTAAATGGAGACACAGAGTGTTGTGGAGGTACGGGCCCTCCATTTCATCTAGGTTCCCGACACGATCTTGTGTGTATTAAAGAGGTTGTAATGGGTAATATGGTAGCCCTTCAGGCTATTTATTGGATACATGAGCGGCTGTACGGCATGGTAAGAAGGAGGTTATTGGGGATTTTCTCTGTCTAGATGGCGCCACACTCGTTTATGCTGCGGCTTAGGCTACGTGTCGCTTACACTTGTACTTGTAGCGCACACTTCCCATACTTTTAGCTGTAATCCGAACATGACACTCTCTTAGTCAACTTTTACTTTCGTTCCATAAATATTGCGTCTATTTCATTGCGTATTATTTCAAACAAAAGGGGAGTTAATGAAATTTGCGGCAAGTTTACATAATAATGGACGAAAGAAACGTCCTCAGCATGAAGCTGAGTCGGTTCAAAGTGGCATGACATAGGGTTTTGTTTTGTTCAAAGCCTTTTTCCCAAACAAAACGGCTTACCGTCTTGATGTTTCTGTATACAGATACCGTATAGGACGTTAAACTAGAGAAGTGAATGAATGAAAGCTGCGACGACTTCACACGTGACTGTTAGGGAGTTGTGTGTCAAAATCTTACATGAGGGGGGCAAAGATTGAACAACTTTACGCGGTGTCTCTACAAATCTGAGAGTGAATAATCTTCAAGAGCCAAGTTCAGTCAAATTCCGCAATACTAAACAAGTTGGCCCACGAGGCAATGATTAAATACTCGCCACCTAATCAATATTTTCCACCAAACGAGGGGGACTATTCTCAACACCTGTCAATAGTGTCCTCTACGAACCTCCAGCTCTCACTGTAGAGTCTGCAGAGCCGAGATTGAGTAACACCTTTTCAACTTTGAGCTGAGTCATCAGGCCCACCGTCAAAGATACGCTTCCGATAACTCACAAGACGACCAAGACGACGATAATGATGCTGGGAATGAGGAAAGATGATGCGGTATCAAACGCTACAACGGTAATCAGAGAAGCACTCATTATATCACAACATATGCTATCCACCGGCGGGCAAACAAATATCCCATAAAAGCAAAGTTAAAGACCCCTCCACCCTCAAGAAAGGCACATTTTTACTCGTAAAAATATCGTCTCATCTAATCTTTAATTATGAATATAACAGCTCTTAATAAAGATATGTGGGACGCGGTATTACGTTGTAAATGTTGACTAATGAACCTTATAGCTACAGATGAAATCTATGTACTGCAATGAAGGTCATGTGACCTGTCTAGCTTAGTTTACATGAGTAGGTGAAATGTTACCCCTAGACAACAGACAAGAGGATATTTAAAATAAATGAGTTACCCGACTACTCCACGTCTGTAATGACTTTTGGATGCTTGACTAGGCTCCTTCACGACAGTCACTCTCGACCAAGACTTTTCTGACATCCTTTTACGACCTTCGGTTTGTCCTGCGGCATGAATCAGAGAAAGAGGAAGAAGGAGGCTAGGAAGGTTGAGAGACACTCTTAGGTATAAATCGGTCAGCTGTGCCCGGCTGGCTGGCCTTTTCATCATGGGAGAACCCCGCATCCAGCGGCTTTTGAGACTTTTTCCTGCGACTACACATCCGGAAATGGCCATCGTTTCGTTGGCTGGAGAGGGGAGATTATGATGGGAGAACGGCTCCTCTTAGTGTGAACACGAATGAAGACCTGTGGGGGTATAACTGCTGAAAAGAAGTCTTGAAAGAGGTATAGGAGGGAGTACACTACCCGAGGCATAGATACTCCCGGCCTGTAGGCAGAAAGGACCTACATGACTTTTCGTAGTCATAGAATTCATAGGATAATAAACACAGACAAAAAGTGCATTAGTATTCGTCATGAAAACATTTTTCACAAATAATTTGGGCTTAATAGCATAAATTTGAAATAAAAGGAAACGCTTGTACATCCTTGGAGGACGAAGGCTGGACACCTGTCAGTGGTGTCCTCTACGAACCTGGGAGTGAAATATTCTCCCACAGCCGAGATTTAGTCACCAAAAAGGGTGAATTTGAGCCTTTTCATCGAGTTAGCGATGTGGAGAAGTGGTATTGGCCCACTTTTATTGAAAATCCGACATACAGAGATTTCACGACTGCACAACTCAACAAAGACATCCACCGAAATCCCACATGCGAGGCGCGGACAGGCTAGACCCTATCTGGTGTTTGTATCAAAGAGTACAACACCTTCGTGGTCTTTTTTCTTTTTCTCTGGAAAAACATTCCTAGCCAAACTCATCTCCCGGCCCTCTCCACAATCATCTCATCACCTACCAAAGCAATCCTATACCTCCAAAAGTCAAATCGCTGAAAAATAAGCAAGAGGATGTCCGACCCTCCGCAACTGCCAGTCGCTGTGAAGGTACGGTCGAAATTATGGCCTTAGATGCGTCCTCACCTCGGCCAAGGGCGCCAACAACTCGACCTGCGACGAATTGCCACCGACGAAATACGTACGACATTTCGCTGGCACGCCAACCAGAGCATTCGACAAAGGCTGGGGCACCGGTGCCTCGGTCTTGAGCTCTCAGTCACATTTTCGACCTCCACGGTTAGGGGTATGGCAGCGACGGGGCAAGGCTGGAAGGGTGGATATTCTACAAGGTTTCTGGGACTATGAGATCGGCTGAAAGATAGAGGGATGCTGCATGAAGGAACACAAGGGAATACAAACTGAGGAGGCCTTTGTGGGCTACTTGATGAGGCCTCCAGTGAAGAAAACGACTCCTAGATGAGATGAGGAGATGCTGAGATGAGCCTAAACTGGGAATGAATTGAGGGAAAAAGTTACAGACGGCGAAGGTATCAAGGGCTCGGGCGCGTGGTGGCCGAAGCTGAGGAGGAATTTGCGCTTCGGCGCGCCAACAGGGGGTTCTCTGGACGGTTGGGCTTGACATGATTCAACACATGGGTGAAGACTAAGGTGGAACGAGGTAGATGTTCTTAATGGTAGTTAACCTGATCCAGCCCGGACCCACCCGTGCTTAAGCTCCAGTAAGAGTGCAACGGTAGTTACTTTACCTAGCACGTTGATGAACAAAACATACACACTTATACATCCAGGGGCTTTGGGTTGTGCACGGAGGTTTCCAGGCATCCGGAGAATAAATAATCTCGGCAAGTTCTTACCAAGCTGACAAAGCGTAGGGCGTTTGCTAGCAAATGAGATGGCGCTAATCCCTCCAATACTATATAGTCAATGGCAGATTTGTGCCGGTTGTGTTGATAGAAGCAGCGCTGCTGGAGCCACACATATGTGTCACACCTCTCAGGCGCATGATCTTAGCCCGATATGTATTACGGAGCAAATGAAATTTTACTACAGCGTCGAATATCGTTTAAGGTATAGCATGTGGGAATTTATCGGACACAATTAGTCTTGAACTTCCTTACTTAATAACCAGGATTAAGATTTCAATGGATTTAAGTAAATATCATGTCCCAATAGATAAAATGCAAATTTCCCACCGGTGACTTGGAAATCCCGAGGTAAATCGTTCGTAACCATCTGTTATCACTTGTTTTGGATCATAATTACTCGGAACGATTGTCGAGTTCACATATAATGCATAGCTGCTGGATAGCATTCGGAAATAATTCTAAAATAACCGCAGATTACCCCAAGGCGTCATAATACCTTGGTGATGAACAGTATTTTTCAATAAAAAAGCTCCGGGTTAAGTTAATGGTCATTCAGGGAACAAAGCCACACTGCAAGCATTCTACACCCATCTCATAGATTGCTACTCCACAACGATGTTCCAGCCCTCTTATGCCTGTCCTAATGTTTTGACGCTAAACTCAAAAAAGAAGGACATAAACCATCGCTGCAACCTAGTGGGTGAAGAGTGGGAATGTTGAAACTTCTATCGCGCACTTCCACTAATAATTGCCACTCGAAATTATCATCCTTAACATCCAATGGACTTAAATGTTGCAATCGAGCCTCGCAGAGAGGGATAGAAGTCAACTTCATGGCTCGGTCTTGCACTCAAACCGACCGTAAGATTCAATCAACTCAAAAACCTTGTTTAATTCAGTCTCATACGATTTGAGTGGGCCGATTTGATAAATTCAGTCATAGGTCGTGTAAAAGTTATTCCCTAGTTTCTCAATCTACACTTTCAAGCTTCAGCCCTCACGTCAACAGACGATCTAATCGATATAAGTTACCAAAGTACACGTCAACAATTATCACGCAACTCAAACGCTTATTGTCATTTTTCCATTGTAAGACATCATAATGGTTACTGGGAAGTGGAGAAGTTAGGGAAAGGGCGGAGAAAAAAATAAAATGCCAGGACTTCTTAGTAGGTTGAAGGGAGCTAAATATGTTAGTTTAATTTCATTGTGTAACTACAAAACTTTGCATCTTGAGCACAAAAGTCTAGTTTACTTTAGAGTATCGTGAGAATTGTTTCACAAGTTAGTAATTGGCTAACGTATTGCTTTCATAGAATTTGAAAACTCATGGCTCCTCGTCGCAATCTTCTAAGAAGAAAGATGTCGAGTCAGTATCAGACCTGACACCTCTCAAAAAGCTTTTGCTAAACGCTGGACCAAGTCTTAGGGAAGATGGGAGTGATAGGTTTTATGGCATGGAAAATGTAAGTTGAGTAAGTGCTTGTCAGTCGGGGAAAGGCTAATTATATATCAGTTTGGAAACACATGGTTGGCCTTGAAGCTTTCTAAATAATTATTATTTGAACTAATATTTTATTGTAGCTACTGTAATTCTATCGTCCAGGCGTTATATCATTCAGTTCCATTTCGAGAGCACATCATCAATCATTCGTCCCGATCACATGAACCAAAAAATAAAGAGAATGTTAAGGTAGTCTTGAGAAACTTGAAAAATAATTCTGGACAATCGTCTGCAACTCACCAAAAAGAAGTGGCAACTACTGATACTACCAAGAAGAGAAATGTTGCTGCTAGCTCTTGTCAATCGACATCAATGATACCTGCGCATCGACAGGACAAGAAATCTGATTCCTCAGAATTTAAAAAAAAACTGGCCTTAATAGCTGGCCCAGTCATAGAACTAATGTACGAAAACTCAAATCCTGATTGCCTAGAAGAATCAACGTTCACGACGCTTAAAGATATCTTCGTCGCCCTTGTGGAAAGCGAGTCTCGCACAGGTGTTTTAAGCCCCAGAAGATTCTTAGAGATTTTCAAGAGGGATAACGAGCTATTCCGGACCTCAATGCATCAAGATGCTCATGAATTTTATGGTTTGGTCCTGAATGCAGTCATATCTCATGTAGAATTGGATGAGCAGCAGGTAATGTTAAACACTAGCACAGTTGAGGCTGGACAAGAAAATTTTAGAAACTCGATATTACCATCTCCTCAAAATGGGGGCTTCTCGAAGAAAGGCGCCGGCTGGGTTCACGAGATATTCGAGGGAGTATTGACCTCTGAAATCAAATGTCTCACATGTGAAACCACTACACAACGTGACGAAACCTTCCTAGATTTATCAATTGACTTGGACAATCATTCATCAGTTACGTCGTGCTTACGTCAATTTTCAGCAGAGGAAATGCTTTGTGAAAGAAATAAATTTCATTGTGATAATTGTGGTGGTCTTCAAGAAGCTGAAAGGCGGATGAAAATCAAACGCTTGCCTAAGATTCTTGCTCTTCATCTAAAAAGATTCAAGTATACCGAAGACATGACTCGCTTACAAAAACTTTTTCATCGAGTCGTTTATCCCTATCACCTTCGGATGTTCAATACAACAGACGATGCCGAGGACCCAGATCGTCTTTATGAGTTATATGCTGTTGTTGTTCACATCGGAGGAAATGCATATCACGGACATTATGTTTCGGTCATAAAAACACAAGATCGAGGATGGTTGCTATTTGACGACGAGATGGTAGAGCCAGTAGATAAGCATTTTGTACGAAATTTTTTTGGTGATAGACCAGGTATGGCATGTGCATACCTTCTTTTTTACCAAGAAACTACTATAGAAGCTGTAAAAAAAGAACAAGAAGACGACAATGTCGATGGTACTTCATATACAACAAAAAGCTTAAAGTCTACCACTGGAAATATAGAGAAGGCTAGTTTAGATACGTCAAACTCAATTAAAGACAGGTCTTCCCCTAACGCAAAACCGGAAGCATCTAGACCAGATAATCTTGGGAATGGTACTTCATTGGAAATTGATCTCGGATTGCCAAAACCGAGCTGCTTATCTTCACCTTCAACTACGAATACACATCCACCACTGTCATCATCACCGCAAGTAATACCCACAACCCTTAATGTTATGAATCAAAGGGTACTAGAGAGGATAAAAAATAAAGCTGTAGAAAAAAAATCCAAGTCCAAAGAAAAGTTTCTCGCAAAGGAACAAGGGTTTTCGGCAGCAGCTGCAAGAAAAAGAAAGACATCTAAGACTTCTACCATTGAAAAGGTGAAAATTGATGACAAAAAAGTCACTCTATCAAATTTAGAAACTGAGTCAGAGAATCATGAAAAGCAGAGAAGTAGTCCATGTCATCGTAAAGAAGGTAGCTGGAGTATGGGACGGAAGGGACTTGCGTTTCTAGGAGGTACGAAGAGCAGTGATTGCAACAAAATACCAGAAACACCGATTCAAAATTCAGAAGTACACAAAAATTCCAACATTAATCAAAGATTTCAGGGTTCAGGGAAAACTAGTAAATTTTCAAAAGACAGATTCAGTTTAATTGCATTAGGTAGAAAGAGGAGTTGTTTATTCCCCCCATGACCATCTACACTCAGGAGTAAAATAGAAAGGTGGTTGAACCTGACATGATTAAAACCATATAAATATCTTACACGACAACGTGGCAATAAACTTAAGAGGCCTAACTATGCTTTTCAAGCAGTTAGTTAAAAGCTGTAATCGCTTCGATACAGAGTTTCCTCGTGACCAGTCCTTTTGTTCAGGTCCTGTGGCCGGTGAACTTGGACAGAACACTGAAGTGCGTGCATGATATTTTGATCTACGTCACGATTCAGCGATTTTTGTACTTCGGTCACACTTCGATGATAATTCCCTGTTGTAACATCAATTTTTGTATATGAATAAAAGTTAATCCAAGGTCTCCATGGTATTCAATTTGGGACTTGGCTTTATGAGTCATGAGGCTTAAAACATTTTGCTCTAGTTAGCTTGGAGCGTCTTTTCTAGGTGTTTAGAGTAGTAGTGTGAACTAAAACTCGAGACTCTTGGCGACCTAATATTCTTCAAGCCAGAATTGCTCAATAATTACTTTTGGCGTGTGAATGATTGGTATTTTTTTTCGTTAGAGCAGTATTGAATTCATCTTCCGCTACCTTGAACGCGTTCAAACCCCAAACGCCTCGGTACTGGACTCTTTGTCCTGAAGAAATTACCCCAACGCAAGTTCGTAGATAATTATCACAGTGTTTGTTATTATCAATGGTACTGTGAGTGCATTTTAGCTTTTGTGCCTAACATTTCCAACTGAAGCAACAGGGCACATACTTCGCATTAGTGTTCTTACACTTGTCATGAGATTGATTAGCTTGCTCTTTATACTGGCGTCACCCCCGCTCGTCGCACCAAATGCAGGTTCTGATACACTGTTGGACCAGCCCACTGTTAAGAAGTTAGATAGTATCGACAAGCAAGCCAGAGTGCAAGTTACCACGGGCGAGGAAACGATCTTCTGACAAGATAGCTATTGCATTAATCAAAAGTACCGAGACTGCAGGTTACTGGTGTCAGCTCATGCTCTTGAAATTTTTTGTTCCTAAATTTGGCGACGCTACGCCCGGTATACTTGGCCAAGATTACATAGCTTTCTTCCCCCTCACGAGACCATGACAGACTGGCAGGAAAATATAGAAGACTCTGATACATATACTATTTTATATGATGTATGGAAAGATAATGGGGGAAACCAACTGTAAATCAGATTGCCGAACGCAAAGAAAATCATGGTGAACGGTGTCGGGAGGTAAAGTGTTTGTATGATTTAATCTCGGTTATGTGGCGGTGTTGCCACGCGGAGAGGTCGAGCTATCTGGCACAATCAGTTCTCGGGGTAAACGGCACATCGCCGAGCGCCATGGTAATGATCAATGTGTAACACAAGACAAGAAGTAACAGCGTACTCTTCAATTATGACATTCATGGGTGTTAACAATCTCACTTGATCCCAAAATCATTAGGCTAATATTTATGCTAGATGTTCTGCTCTCTTCGCTGATTCCGGCCTTAGTTATTGTCCACCTCTTTGTTACTCCATTCACCAAAGTTGAAGAGTCTTTCAATTTACAAGCTGCACACGACATTATCAATTACGGCCTACCATATCGTAACATCTCCCAGAATCTTCACCAAAATTATGATCACTTTTCGTTTCCTGGGGCTGTCCCGCGTACGTTCGTTGGGGCTATCAGCCTTGCAGTGTTGTCGAAACCCTTCTTATTCTTGAATGGCCCCCAAAATGCTCAGATGATAGTGAGAGGACTGCTTGGAAGTTTCAATTCTTTTGCATTGCTCAGCTACAAGAATAGCTTAGCCAAGGAGTATGGTACCGTCACTGGAAGATGGTTTGTCCTGTTGATAGCAACCCAATTCCATGTAATCTATTATGCATCGAGGACTTTGCCTAATATGTTTGCATTTGGTCTCAGTAAGTAAACTCTGGTTTGGGAAAAGTCTAAAAGCATCTCACCCAAATATACAGCTACCCTCGCACTGAAGGAATTTATTCCAAGGCGTTTGTCCCAAGAGCGCATGGACATATCCAGACGGCAAAAACGAGGAATCTTGTTTCTCGTATTTGCTGGAGTTATTTTCCGTGCAGAGGTTTCTATATTGCTAGGCTCTCAGCTACTATGTCTGTTGATCAAATCTAAAATCTCTATGGGAACTATTATAACAACTCTCATAAAGAGCGCCAGCATCGCCCTCTTCATAACTTTTACCGTCGACTCGTACCTTTGGCAGTATCCAGTCTGGCCCGAGTTGGCCGGATTCTACTTCAACGCGATCCAGGGAAATTCTGCTAATTGGGGAACCTCTTCTATATATTTCTACTTTACCAACATTCTTCCTAAGCTTCTTTTGAATCCAATCATCATAGTTGGGCTTATTCCAATTGGGGTGTATTTACCAGGAATTAGAGATCCTGTAAGAGGACTTATTGTGCCATCTCTCCTATATGTTGCTATTTACAGCCTCCAGCCTCACAAAGAAACGCGTTTTATCATATATGTTGTGCCACCGCTTACTGCTGCAGCGGCTTGCTCAGCATCTTATATTTGGAACCGGGCATCGAAAAGCCTTCCGTATTTCATCGGTTCTATATTTTTGGTATTTTCGATAATTTTAAGCGGTATGGCTGTAGTCAGCATCCTTTTCATATCCTCTTTTAATTATCCCGGTGGTGAGGCAATTTCACGCTTGAATAAACTTATCCTAAATTCCGAATCATCTGTTAGATCAAATCATATTCAACAGATAGCAATTCATATGGATGTCTATTCATGTATGACAGGTATCACCCGCTTTCTTGAGATATTTCCGGCAGAAGGCACCTCCAAGGATTTAAATATTGTCAACGGTAATAGAAGACATGTTATATATGATAAAACTGAAAATAATACGCTGCTCCATCAACTAGAATGGTGGAACCAATTTGACTATGCACTCATAGAAACACCTGAATCTGCACTAGGTACGTGGGATATTTTGTCTACAATTCTTGGCTATTCAGGAGTCGAAGTATTGTGCCCAGGAGATACCGGATCACTATTAAGTAATCGAGAATTTGAAGTGTTGCATCGAATACGGAAAGTGGCGCGTATCATAACGCATGGTTGGTGGATTGGTCCGAAACTTGGTCCCAAGATATATATATTACAAAGACCACCTGGTTCCGAGAAAGATTTTGAAATTATCTAAACTAAATTTATCTTAATATGATTTGCTTTGGATTCCTTGGTTTCTCCAAGAAAAATGATAGAATTTCTAAGCCAATCAGTAAGTCGGTAAGCTCCCTACAGAAGCTGGAATAAGAGAAAACGAAGAATGGACACGGGGTAGGACAAGACCCACCGTGGATCCAATCTTTACACGTTATTTTTTATCTTCGACGACATTTAGGGAAGATTGGTAAACGCTAATCCCGAGACCCCATAGCCGTGGGGGCGTTTCTCTACTTATAACTTGTGACGACGGTTAGACCATGCTCGTCGAAAATCAGCATGAGAAATGTATTCTGATAACCAATATCAGTTACCTTATGGTTTATATTCCATCCGCTCTTTATACAGTGGTTAGCATTGTAACATGTATCCCGGTCTACATTAATGATCGAGCGTTGTAGAAATGTAGCAATATTTCTAACTTATTTTCAGGTGGGTAACTCGATTAGTATAAGACGTACTAAGTAATAATAAAGCAAGGGGACTTGGTGTTAATATCCACTGAAACGTAAATTTGGTTTTAACTAGACAAAATTTTGCCACTTTCTTATTGATCTATCAATATCTATCCCAAACCCTCTGAAGTGATATCTCGCAAGAGTCTATTAACTCGTATCGTACTTCCAGACCTACTAACAATTTCTACACAGCCGACTCGAAAGCCAGTATGTTGAGCTACGGACATTCTAGGCTTACCCGAATTGACTCATAACATGACTCGGACCGGAGAAGTACCCACTGATACATGGTGTGTATCAAGGAAAATATTTTTTTGTTCGGATTTTACATGACTCATGCTTTGAATTGGATTCAAAATCATGTTTCCGATGAAATGCTAATCTTATTAGTCCCGAGCACGTTTCGGTATATTTCAGTGGTAGCTTTATTTCCGGCGAGTTATCTAACAGGATTTCAAATGATGAGAAACCATGTATTTTAGATACTCGATAGCCAGAGAATAGAGAAGCAACCCTTCGATGAGTTGTTACCATATACTCCCATTTCCAAAATAGTCCAACACAGTGGTCCAAGAGATTTCTCTCTGGCCGTTTGCAAAAGATCTTAATTAGAAAATAATAGTGACTTAATGCGACGGGCTTTGCCAGAATTGGGGCTGATCACTAGTACCACTCCGTCTTCTAGGTCAAGCTGTAATAGATCAGCGCTCCCGGAAATGCGATTGGGGCTCATAAGGAGATATCAAGGGGGGATACGTACCAGATGGGGAGTATGGCACAGGAGAAGAGATGAGCGGAGGAGAAAGGATTATTCTCAGTTGGCCAAGGTGAGGAGTTGATACCAGTCTACGCAGAGGACATAGAGGATAGGGTACGATGCAGCAGATTAGCTTCCCAAGGAAAAACTATTCATTCCCATTGAGTTATCGACTTCAAGTACTCCTTAATTCTTAACCCCTTTACACTTAAACTACCAAAGAAGTAATACGCTTTAAAGATTTAGTGCCGGATAGAGTGGAATAACTGAATCACAATGAGGTTACTGATGGATTAGGATGTATGAAAGTGAGATAAGCTTAGCTTTGAGATGGTGTGGGTTACGGGTGTCTCGTGGCTCCAAACTACCAATGTGTATATTAAAACGATACAAAATTATTTGTGATATATAACCCACATTTTCTTAAGATAGGAAGACTTCGTCTATTTTTATTTTTTAAATCATTTAATGTGTATGCAGCTATTTAGCTACGACACATGACCGGTGCTATGTATACATGCTGGATGACTCTTTTGACGTTAGAGACACTCATACTCTGGATTTCATTCGCAAATACCACTACGAGGTGTGTTTGCTTACACAAACAGTTGACCCTCCTCCGTAAGTATCCACCAAAGGGAATTTCAAAACCTTTGGTTATCCAAGCATGCCTTCGTAATCCATGTATACCAGCGCCGCGTGAAATGTGATTGTGTTTTGCCGGATTAGACCCAGCAATCTACTGTCTCGAGTAGGAAATATGTTCTAGCTGTCCAGACCTTACTTGGCAGACCGGCCAAGACGATGTATCACCGCACCATCCATCCATTGCGTTGTTGATAGTGTCGCCTGCACTCTCAGAACCGAAGTCTTGACGGACGCACGAAGCTAAGTTCGTAAAGCTCATTGTCAAGATTCCGAATTTCACGCCCGTCGAGGGTACAGCCATCCTCTGCAACATATTTTAAACTTGTCTTCATTCCCCTCACGCTCATCTCAATGAATGTCTCCCAGGTTTTTGTGCCACGCTTTGTTTCCTCCGTCGGGTGTGTGAATATCGGCGTAGGGATGTATTTGGTGGTCTACTGAGGCCAGAGCAGGTCGAAGAGAGGTGTAGCAATTAAAAGGAGGATGTACCAGGTCGTACCTGTAAACTTGATGAGGTCTTGGTGGGGATCGATCTCGGATGGGAGAAATTGTTTAGGTGGAGAGTCTTGAATCATTGCCTCGAGGGCCAACTTGTTCGGTATTGCGAAATTCGACTGAACTTGGCTCTGAGAGAACATTTCACTTCCTGGTACGTAGATGACACCGCATACAGGTATTCGGTCTTGTTCTCCAAGACTTCGTCTTGTCTTGCAGTAATTCACTCAGTCAAACCGAAATAATCACTAAATAGCGTGAAATATAATTTTTACGAAAACTAGTGCCGCGATAGATTTAGAACCGGATGCAAATGGGGGACAATTCTCAACACCTGTCAGCGGTGTCCCCTACGAACCTCCAGCTCTCACTGAAGAGTCTGCAGAGCCGAGATTGAGTAACAAAGTCCTCACTTCGAAGAGGATTCCCAATCGCTTTCGCGGTCTGTATCGTCTTCATCTCTCAACACATTCCCCTATCACCATTATCATGAAGCTAACCACGATCAGATCAGATGGTAGGGTCGGAGCCCTACTCGTCACCCACCCTTGATCATGGAGAAAAAGGCATCCGGTGAGTTTCCGGAGCGTACCCAGCACCCGATACGGAGATGGTGGATTGGATCAAGTCGGCCTCGACTGTTACAAAGAAGGGAGATATAGATGAATATGCGCACCTCATGTGGTCCCGGTGTCTAGGCCTCGCCTGGCTGAGGCTGCAGGTTTTTTGAGACTTTTTCCCGCGCACGCAGTTTCCATTGCTACCATTTCTATTTTTTTTGGGTAGAAGGTTTTGCGGAAAAGGTGGCTGAATTCCACGGGTAAATACTGAGCTGAATGGCTATTCATCAAGGGGAATATATCAATGATCTTTCAAGTAACAAAAGAGGATAGGAGCACTGTACAAGGTGTGGCCTGGGTCAGAGAGGAGCCCAATGTGCTAGATAGTCACAGACTCAAGTAGCACAATAAACACAAACACACAAACACACCGGATACAAATGTGATTTTTAATAAATAATGTGCCCCTTGCTTCGTTCATCATCATTGAACAACGTTGTACTTCCTTAACTACCCTTACAGAAAGTGACACATCGATATCTTATGGACGGGACACACCAGTAGCAAAATGGGAGGACGAGTACTCAAGACCTGTTAGCGATGTCCTTACGAACCTTTGGCTTTCACTGTAGAGTCTTTAGAACAGAAATTGAGTTACAACTCCATCCTCACTTTGATGAGGATTCCCAAACGGTCTCGCTGTCTGTATTGTCTTCGTCTTTCGGCACACCCCTCCATCGCCATTATCATGAAAGTAGACACGATCAGATCAGATGTCAGGTTCGAAGTTAAACTCATCACCCACCCACTCACTCACTTTTCTTTTCTTTTCCTTTTCATGGAGTAGACGTTGTGATGTGATTATTGCATTTACTCTAAATTTATCTCTGCCAAGTGCCAGGGATACAACACATCTATGCGAGTACTGCACAGCCCTACATGGCTATCATTACGATGGACTATTGAGGCGCAGCTCTATACAATGGCATAGAGTAATGTGGGATAGTATTGCATGGAATTAAGATTGCAGTACTTCATGCATAGACGGTGATGTACTGTAAAGCGGGTGCCAGATATGTGTATATAAGTCCTATCTACTACTGTGATGTGTAGAACAATATAACCAAGCTATTCATCATATCGTCAAGCTCTGATAATCCTTATCCACCCTCTGCACTATCCCTAGAATATTCAACATCTCATACCTACTCATACCTTAATTACAACAGTAGATCCCGTCAGATTGGTTTACAAAGCGTATCTGGCTCCCATTACAGTGATCTTGATTTAGTTCCGATTGGTCTATAATATTTGAATAAGAGATACATAGATAGATATGCGCACCTCATATGGCTCCGGTGTCTAGGCCTCTTCTGGCCGGAGCTTTAAGGTTTTGTAAAGGGTTTAAAGAATTCAGAAGTACTTGAAAGACGTTAACTCAATAGGAATTGATAATTTTTCCTAAGGAAGCTAATCTGCCTACGACGGCTCCTGTCCTTTATGTCCTCCTCAGTGTCGCGTTTAAGCTCCCCTCCTAGCCTACCTGAGAATACTCCATTCTCCCCGGCTACCCTCTTTCCTGTGACATCCTCCCCCCCTTAGTACGTACTCCCTTGGGTCCTTCCTCATGCGCAGCCTTGCAATTATCCTTATGCAACACTGAGACTCGTTCTTGTGCGCAACCTTGCATTAATCCTTATGCGACACTTAGATCCCTCTTTGTGCGTATCCTTGCATTCTTCCCCATGCAACCTTTCGCGTCTCTGTAAGCGCTGCTTAGTTGGCGCTTAAAGATCTAGCCGGGTTGGTCCTAGTGGCCAGTCCCAACTCGGGCACAGCCCGTAACAGGTTTTGAGACTTTTTCCTGCACACACAGTTTCCAATGCTACACTTAACATCATTTTTTGTTAGAAGGTACTGCGGAAAAGGTGGCCGAATGGCTATTCATCACGGGCTATATATCAATGATCTTTGAAGGTTCATAAGACGCAAGGAGCAATTTACAAGGTGTGGCCTGGGTCAGAGAGGAGCCCAATGTGCTAGATAGTCTATGAATCAAGTAGTACAATAAAAACATCACCAGGAGGATAAACTCTTATAAACACCTGTTAATAGTAGCTAGTGTGCGCTTTTCTCCTCATGTAGTTAAATAAATTGCTTCATTCATCACCAACTCGGTTTCCGCCACAACAAAAAGAATGAGCATTTGTCCACCGGGAGATCATTTAGCTATAAATTAAACATCAAAAATACTGCCACATTTAACGCCTTCTTTACATGTATCATCCTTCTCATCTGAAGATTAGTAGTTTTCCGACGAACTAGCCCCCCTATCCGGGCGTGAGCTAGTTCCCAACAATGCTACAAAATCGGGCGATGCTCGATTTTGAATAACAGCGAAACTAGGCGCCGCCATTATTGATATCCCCGAATAAAAACATTTTTTATTAAATTTACATCCTATTAAAGTTCATTACTCTTAAAAAGCCCCGTGCTGAATAGTACAGGCACTCTATCGGCTTACAAGCTGTTACAAAGGCTGATGATTGATAAGGCAAGCCTTCGTCTGCAACTGATGCAACTTCTCGATCGTTCCATGAGGTGAATTTGTATGTGATAGAATTGATTTGGGCTGTAAAGAATGGTGGAAACAAGATTGATGATTTGGCATTGATTTAAGATGTTCTTGTCCTTGCTTTCGACTTCGATTCGGAAACATTTCTTACCTGCGATCCCAAGTATTTAAAGCGTTATAAGTGTTTATACCAGCTCTACAGGAAGCGGAAGAAGTCGTCTTTACCGGCTTGAATTTCCATACAATGGCTACTGAAAGAGGAGTCTCGACTGTTCTTCGTCAGCAGGCACGAATCATAGTGATACTGCAAATAAACTGAAGAGTGTAAGTATCTCTCAAATCAAGAGTCATCCAACATATTTTGAAGGAACTAGTCATGGGTTATCGCTAAATGTATGAATAGGCAGTGAGTAATTAAAAAGGAAAATAATCTTGAGGATCCCAAAGTACTGACATGAGTGCCGTTTAGACATTACACAAAATAAACACTATCTGAAGGAGCTTTCAGACTTCAAAAGATACCTCAAGTGATATCTTAACAGGTTTCCAATTTCGATAGTCCGTACTTAAGGGCCCGAGTTCTAAACTCCAAAAATTGTCTTCAATTTTAATTCTATTTACCCTTTGTGGGCTGTCTGATCACCTGCAGCTGGGTATCATAAGATGAGTTATGATAAAACTCCATGTCATCCTTGTCTCGGTTTTTTCCATCAGCTTTGTAATTACAAACACCGTCCTAGGGCCAGTATCCTAGCATAATGCTGAAGTTGAGTCTGGCTCAATTTCGGCCCGGTAAATCCGCGTTCAAAAGTCGTATTCCCGAAAAAGAGCATAAGCAGGGCTTTGGTAATTGTTTCGGCATTGAGTTAAAATTGGGAGCTACAAAGTCCTGTTGTCATTTTTATCCTCGTTGTCGTGCATATATTATTACTCGCTGTGATGCTAGATATGCATGCTCGGCCGTAATTAAGCCTAACAAATTGCTAATGGATTAGTAATACAAATAATTTCGTGAAAATAGCACAAATGATCAGCTCTAAAGATCTGAGCTATTGTTCATGGGTTAATTACATATTTTACACCAACACCGTCATCCGCTGAGATACGTGACATTTTTTTTCCCTCCGATCCTCCTAAACACCAAACGCCGAGAATTTACCCGCCCCAAATCTCATTTCACGCTGATCCTTCCTGAGATTAAACAAAGACCAACTAAAATTATTGAGCCTACGCCAATAACATTATGATTCGACCAAAAGCAGATATAGGCACGTGCATTAATTCCTCCATGTTTTCGGCGGCATATCAGTCAATTTCAACAATTTCTCGCTTAATCAAATTATTTCTCGCCTGACCCACGCCGTGGTTTGCATTAGTATTTTGTGTAGATAAGTTATTATTTTGTTGTGGTTTTATTTGCTTTAGCTGCGATCCGGCCCGCATTGTTGCAGTTGGGGCAGAAGTCATCATAGTCAGTGTCGATACTAAAGGAGCTAATGGCCTATTTGGAGGAAAAGATATCATAGACGCAGTTTGCGCCTTTTGAGGTATTCCATGGGACCAGGTAGCTCCATTCTTGGCAAAGTTCTGAATAATTTGATCAAGTTTCTGGAGAAGTTCAGCGACCCCTTCGCATTTTGCGACGGCACTACTTCTCATTCCTTGCCAGCTATTACCACTTCTTTGCCAAAAAGGTACCAATAGTTGATCTAGATCGTCTTTTTTTGTGGCATGAAAATCGTCAGAAATATATGCCCCACGGCGACGAATGTGCCACCACACCTCGCCCTGTCTTTGACACATACGGGCGTCGAAAAGAAAAGTTCGAGTTACTCGGGAAGCATGAGGCATTGTTGAATACTTGGTTATTTTGTAGCGAATAACGTACCAATCAACTGCACGTGCATTAATTATGACGACTCCATGATCACACATAGAAGCCGCCCAAGTATCTTCGATATTTTCGATTTCGCATAAAATCTGAATGGTGAGAGGAAGCATAGTTGCAACGCTGTGAAGGCCTTGTGGTGAATTTAAAAGATTATTTAAGTGATCAGCAACACGAAGATGTGGATTTTGCGTTCCAAATTGAAGATCCAATTTTTTCCCCTTGGGAGTAAGGACGATTGCTGCTTTGTAGACCGGCTCATTAGGACTAAGACTGCTGATACTTTCAACACACGGGCCGTTTCTATAAGCGAAATCTATTCTTTCGAGAGAGATCGACTTGCATTTTAAAGCCCCTTCATGTCTCTCCAGAACTTGGATGCACTCAACTAGTAGCTCCAAACTATCAAGAGATTGAACAAGAGAAGAAATTACAGATTCTCCGACATAACTGCGGAGGCGAAAGGCAAAAGATCCTAGTTTTGAGTGGAATGCAGTATTTTTTCCAAATAACTTGCGGGATATCAATAATGGTCGGGGAATAGGTTTCATAATCCGAATCTCTGCAACCATGACGGCCGTATCTTTGGAGATTACCACATGTTGGCTGTTTTTTGTAGAGTTTTCAGTTGTATTTCCAATAACTTTCGAAACGGGCTGAGCCGACTCTAGTCCATGGTAACTAAGCCTAATAGCATCTTTTGCCCATGGGTTTCCAGTACTGCTAGAAACATTTCGCGATGTTAAAATCTCCGAACTTTTAAAGTATATGTGTGGGAGTTTTAAAGGCCCCGACTTGATACTTGGTGTTAGAGTATATACAATGCGCTGAGACCAGAGAGTTTTGAGATTTTCGTAAAATGATATGAGAGCAGCAGAGAATATGCTAGATGTGATCATAAAACTGTAATTTGTGACAGGTGAAACTACTTTGATAGGCATTTTTATCTGTGTTGAAATAATCATCATTCCATTTGGATTAGTTGGATCTATGGTCATGGTGCTGCTTCTCATTAGCAAGGTGGTTCATATCTTGACGGAAGGAACGTACGTTTGCACTAATCGCCAATTTTCCCCAGCCATATTCATTGAAATGGTCAGGTACCAATTCTCGGGCCAGCCAGATCTTCTGAACCAGAGAACTTGAGCAGCGTCGGTGAACACGCGTTTCATTTCCAAGATATTTACTCCAGGGTTCCGGATATTCTTCCACCCCGTGGTCCATCCGTGACCTAATAAATTATCAAATAATAAAGAGTACCTGAGTAGCTCAATATGTTCATGTGCACGTGCAGCCGGATCAATTACCAGTGTATTCAGTCGGCGTTGGTAGTCTAGGAATTTTCGAGTAGGGGGTTCAAAAACGAAAAGTCCGCTTATCGGTTCAATTTTAATTGTTAAATAATTCTCTGTGGTTAGCTGTACCTTTAAGTTAGACTTGGCTGAATCGCTATTGGAAATTGATAAGCATAAGGAAAGATCGCACTTCGCGTATAATGGTTTGGCTTTTAGGTTATGATAAATAGAAGTTAAGATGTAAGCAATATGCTTTGATACTACTGCTGTTAGAAGAGCTTCAGCAGATATGTTGACATCATCTATAGATATTTCAACATCTTTTTGTTCTTTGTTATCCCGAAACCATCGAATTCCAAGTCTTCTTGTAGCTTTCAAGTTAGGTCGACCATTTTTTGACGTTCCACTATGAACTCCTAAGATTAGCCAGCTTTTTGGAGCTTTAATCGTTTTTGGTGCTCGATGGAACCTATCAATCCAATATTGAATGCAAGTGGAGCGGTTAAGAGCTTCCACTTTAGCCGAGTGAACCCATCTATATCTTGCTAAATGAATTGCCTGTCTTCTAAATTCGCCAATCTTGTATGTCAAGGTTAAGTCATGAAGGAAGTTGTAGCATCCCTTTAATCCGTCCTGAAGTAAGATTGAATTTATTCTACTTTCTAGAAAATAGCGCAAGCTATGATTAATAACTTTTAGAGAGGGCGAAAATTTAAATCGAAGATCTAGGAACCAATACTGAGCTTGAGGGGCTTCTTCTGCAATAGTAAGGTCTAGCTCGAATTCACCTATTACCGTAAAGGTAACACGACCTGATCGAATATGAAAGTTTTTGAAGTGATATGGGACTGTGTTGTATTCATCTAGGTTAAGTCTTATTGCGAGAAGTGTATTCAACTGTTCAAGCGTTCTTAATATCTCTTGTGAAGTAAGTGGTGGTGGCGTGATGTAGCCAAACTATATCGTTAGCTTGATTCAAACTACTCACGGTGTAATAGCCTACCTCGGGCATCCAGGATACCTTTCCCGTCACCAGTACTTCGAGCGCAGTTTTTATGTCCGGATTTGGTAGCCTAGCATGGATATATCCTTTCTTATCATGGGCCATTTGTTCAATAGCAGCCACGTATTCATTCTGCTTTTGGTCCAAGTGGACTTTTAGATCTATAATTTTGCTCACATCATCTGCCTTTCGACTCCATCCTGTAATTACTAAAGCTTTTGTCCAGGCTTCATGTGCGTCTGTCGCAAATTTTAGTACTCGCAACTTTTTCGTTAAGTTTTCCACAGAGTTATCATCTGCCATAGTCACTGTTGAGCCATTTGAACTGAGTTTTGAGGTAGGTAATGGTAATTGTGCTAAATCTTTAATCGTGCCTAGTAAATCTGAATGTGTCTTTTGCGCCAGTCGAGCTATCAATTTTTGGGGTGATAGGTATCCATGAGTAATGTGAGAAATCTCTGATGGAAACTGATTTGGTCTATTGTAGGGGTTCTGTTGATTATTAGAAGTTTTGAAATCGCTTGTATGGAGTCCAGCATTGTTCTGTTCGTATAAGGTAGGGTTGTTGTTTGCCATGGCTGGTGTCGACGAATTTTTCGATGCAAAATCTGTGCCATCCTCGGTATCAACCTTACTTGCAACGCGATCCTCCATTAGGATCATGAATCTTTTGGTGTAGGTAGTATCCGTGAAAGGATGATAAAGGGCTGAGGATGCAAGGCTAGTCAAAACTGCCAACTGGGGGCATCCGCAAAGCTAGTTATCATTGGCCAATTATAAAAGAATTGCAGATTCAGGGGTCGCTACCACTACAGGCAATTCAAGGTTATGTTTCCCTGCGCGGAAGGTAGGTATACCTTGCTGCGATGAACATGTAGAATAAAACGACCAACAAGTCAATTAGCGGTCGCAAACTTACTTCAGTGTTAATCAATAGATTATCTCGTGGCTTCAATAAAGTTTAAAACTAGAACTTAAAACGTCATTGCGAATGCCTAGGTGACTATCCCGCCAAGAATATCGGCGTAACCGTCAAACTTTGGACCTGAGTACATCAGTTACTCCTGGGCTCTCCCGAACTATTGTTATATCGAATTTATAGGGGTGTCAATCTTCTGATAAATAATAGCAACACTAAAGCGCTTTATCTACATACGAAAAACTCATTATCAACCTTAAACACGATCTCTAACAATCTTCCCTAGAAGAGGCTTTCTGTTGATCAGTTCGGATCGATATTTAATTCACACCGTCAAACGCATAAGGCTAAAACAACTCATGGGAGATATAGGATGGAACAAGAACAGAGTTTCCGAGATGCTCAAGCTCAATATGAAGGAGAGGATACAAGTTTGACGCGTGTAAAAGAACTAGCCGCTTGGTACTCATATAGCTTTGCGGCCGAGGTTTTCATCCTTTGTGGAGTCGGTATGTAACTCTGGATGTACTCCTACTGGGAGATCGGGAACCTATTGTTAGCTATTACTCACTAATAGCCAGGATCATTTATTCCCATCATACTGGAGCAAGTTGCAAGAGAGAATGGAGTGCTCCTATCGGATAAAACTTTACCTTGCACGTCAAACTTTTCGCATAGAATGTCACAAGTAAAATTTCAAAGTTCAGTTAGTCTAGAACCGTGTGTAATCTTTTTACTTGGAGTCCAAATAAATACAGCAAGTTTCGCTATGTACACTTTTTCCGTAAGTGTTCTATTTCAGGCATTAGTTGTCATCTCAATAAGTTGTGCAGCGGACAATGGAAACTACCGGAAACGTTTACTACTTATTTTCGCATACGGTGGAGCTCTTACCACTATGTTATTCTTATTTCTCGGTCCCAAGACATACTTACTTGCAGCTTTCCTAACTATAATTTCTAATACATGCTGTGGAGCAAGCTTTGTACTGCTGAACTCATTCTTGCCATTACTAGCAAGGCATCATCCGAAAGCTCAATACAAAATTCAGTGTCCGGATCTGGAACCTGATGTAGGAGTAATGTACTCAACGCCAAATGTAAGTGTAAATACAGAAAACTCAAGAGAGCCAAGCATCAGAACTCCGCTATTAGCTCACCCAAACGGGGACTCTTCTCTGAACAGAGGAGAAATCTCAACGGAATTACAGCTCTCAACTCAAATCTCGTCTAAAGGGATTGGGGCTGGTTATTGCGCCGGTCTAATAGTTGAGTGCATATCAATCTTTACAATTTGGGAGATGGGATCCACGACTTTTTCAATCCAAATAGCGCTGTTCTTGGTCGGTCTTTGGTGGGCCATTTTCAGTATTCCTGCTATTCATGGGTTCTGCTCGAGACCAGGTCCTCCACTAATTATGACTAAGAGAGCTGATTTTTCGAAGATAAAGAGCTCGATTGCATATATTGGGTATGCTTGGCTTTCCCTCTGGCGCACAATTAAGCAAGCTCATCGTCTAAAAGATGCTACCATTTTTCTAATTGCCTGGTTTCTTATATCTGACTCCATCGCCACTGTTTCTGGAACAGCTATTCTTTACGCCAAAGTAACTTTGAACATGACACCTGAGAAATTAGGCATGATTAATATAGTAACTATCATGGCTGGGATTCTTGGCGCTTTATCATGGCCGTTAATTTCTCGAGTGTTGAGCCTTAAACCCAGTGGTGTTATTCTCGCATGCATCTTCGCATTTGAAATGATTCCCTTGTATGGACTACTTGGATACCTTCCAATTGTGAAATATTGGGGAGTTCTAGGTCTTCAAAGACCGTGGGAGATGTATCCTTTGGGGTTTATTTATGGTTTCATTTTAGGTGGCTTATCGTCGTATTGCCGCTCGATGTATGGAGAACTCGTTCCCCCAGGTTCTGAGGCAGCATTTTACTCACTTTATGCAATTACCGATAAAGGCTCTTCAATATTTGGCCCTGCCATCGTAGGTGCTATTATCGACAGGTATGGAGATATTAGACCAGCATTCTTCTTCTTAGCGCTATTAATAAGCATACCTGCACCGCTTATCTGGTACATAGATATGGAAAGAGGAAAGAGAGAATGCCACGAATTGGCAAAAGTTCTTAAAAGACACAAAAGCTCTTACGCGCACCAGAACATTCAATCGCGTCTATGAGGTTCCATAGAAATCAACCCTGTATCAAATTGGTATTAGAATTAGGCTATCTAACTCAAAGTGGAAAGAAGTTGTAAACACTAATTACGGTGTGGTTATGCGTGATATATTTAGTAATCCTTGACCACAATTTCTTTAATCTCTAGGGACAATGTATATAATAAGCTTCAATCTAATACAAATTCCCAAATAACTTTCGGGCGCAAGCTTTTTTTACGAAAAATGTATTTTATAAAATTGAACATCCTTATACGAGCACGATTACTATTGGATTATGTGCCAGTCCATGCAGATGATCGAGACATTAGTGGCACAATAACTCCACAAGAACTCGACAACATACTTCTTACGGTCATGGAAGTCTAAGTAGAGGAAGCCTTGGCAAAGGTAGTGAGCGAGAAAGCCCCCAGCCTAGACAGAATCCCAAACTGCCTATGAAAAAATTACAGGAAAACTCTATCAAAGGTTCTAACAGACCTTCTCAAGGTCTGCCTCTTAAAGGGATATCACCCAATAGGTTTCAAGGAGTCTTTAAAAATTGAACTTAGAAAGCCACAGAAATCATCATACGACACTCCACAGGCTTTCTGATCGATAGCCCACTTAAACACCATTGGAAAACCCTTGAGAAAATAGTAGCGATCCAGATCTCAAGCGCCGCCAAAATGCACAATATTCTTCCAGAAAAACAGACAGGAGCGCGTCCCAATAGATCCACGATCTCGGCAGCTGACCATTTGATCGAACAGATCTACGAAGCGTGGGGAAATGTCAAGAAAAAGGCGGTATCCCTCCTTATTCTAGACATCTATGAAGCTTTTGAAAAGGTATCTATTTAACGGCACAGAGATACTGTTAGACACTGAGGGTCAAATGAAAAATGTAAAGTAAAGTGGTATTGATGAAATCTCTGCTCCTCAACTCCTCTCCAGCAGTGATGCTATATACCCATCTGAAACTATTTCGAGGAGAGATTATCTTCTCCTCGTTTCCCAAAATTACATATGAAATATATTACATGTGTTGAAGATCAAAAGATCTCATGTTAGAGCTTTGACTATCCTGAACATCCCGAACATCCTAATCATCCTGAACATCCTAGTCATCCTGATCACCATATCCCTGGTGAGATATCAAAGCTCGAGTTAGTTAATCTGACAAGATGTATCATCCCACTATCCAATGATTCTTATTACCATATTCAGTAGGTTCCAAACCATCAGATGTTTGGCAGATACTTTGAGAAATGTTTGCAGTGGATTGAATTCTCTATCTTCCTCAGATCTCCCCTCACTAACTTACATACATTCGAACCATTTATCATCTAACATGTTATTTCTACTTGGCGTATCACTCTTAATTGAGTTGAGCTAATTCAGCAAGAAACAGTTTCCGATGTCAATCTCCTCAAAGTTACAACCTCAAGAATCTCTAGTATGAAGCGCGCACATAAATAAAATGAACGAACACGATTTAGTAAGCCTAATTGAAGCGCGCGCGTAAAGGAAAAGGGAATGATATATGCTAAAAATTTGTAAATTAACTCTCAATCAATATAAGTAAGATAATATCATACTTCACATCATCCATTAGATAAACGATCTCTTTCAAAAATATTCCTCAATCCTCAATCCTCAATCCACCTTTCACTCTTAGTCTATCAGCAAAACCAAGCCGCTACATGGCTGCGTTAAACAAGCCCTCGTCCTCGGCGTCTACCGACCCAGGCGACGAACTACACCCGAGCCTTCTCGGGATTGCTGCAGCTATGGAGCAATCAGAACGAGAACATAAGGAGAGAATGAGCCTAGCTCAAGACTATCTCCAAAATTTCGACGCTTGGGCGAAGTCCAAGGCAGGGACTGCGGGTGCGCATTTACTCGCACCATTTATTGAAAAAATTTCACCTATCTTAACAGCGTTTGCGATAGGAAACATCAACGCCGTGAACCCCCTAGGCAAGAACCCTTCCCCCGAAAGCACTCAGTTAAAAACCTCAGTGCCTAGGGCGACAAGAATTTGGTGAGAAAACACCCAACGAACTTCCGAAAAAGCCACAGGAGAATACGACTCCGTGGGTGACAATAGCCCGGAAAGCAGCCAAGCTCCCACACCCTCCGGTTAACCTAGCAAAACGAAGGCCCATAGTTCAGACAAAACCAGCCAGTCAAGAGCCCCCGAAAGAAGATAAAAGACTCTTCTTTCGCTTGGGGCGAGAACACCAGTGGCGGAGACTATAACCTGTCACAGTAAAGAAAACTATCACTGAGAAAGCTAGAGTTGCACCTTCAGCAATCATATCAATGACACAAGTCAGGTCTGGCCTAGCCATGGAGTGCGCATCAGACGCACTCAGGGAATCAATTCTGAGTGTAGTCCCTGCACTTCAAAACGGCGAAATTGCAATCGAGCCTTTTTCAGACTGGACATCTGTCATGGTACCTCTTGTCCCAATTTTTATCCGCACATTAAATAGAAGAATTGAAGTAACCAGGGACATGGTAAAGACAGAATGCCAGACAGTTTGTGGGGTCACAGCAATACAGGTGCGCCTAAACGACAAAAAATTAGGATGTTATTCCGCTGGCTGGATGATACACTTCAAACAAGTGCCATTAAATCTTCGATTCAGACTTATTGATAAGAGTGGGCCGGCTATACCGGTCTCCCGTCGATGCTCCATCGAGCAACGTCAACGCTACTGGGGTTATTACTCAACAAGGAACTTCATCAAAGGACAGCGATGCAAAAAGTGTTCTGGTACTCACGAAGTAGCAGAAAGCATGGCAAAGATTCCAAAATATTCAAACTGTGCTGGACCGCAAGAGTCAACACACCTGAGCTGCATGACCCGGCCAAGGCGGGAACATGTACAAGTAACGTCCCAATCACCCGCCGAGCTACGAGTTATCCGAGAGCGAGTACATTAAGATTTCAAGGCAGCATTGGTAAGATTAGAAGAAAAAGGTAAGGCCCTCGAGTTCATTGTTATACCAGAAGAAATAATGCATGATAATGAGTAATACTTCCAATTCTCATCATCATGAACACAAATATAGCACCCTTCTCTTTCATCAAGTGAATGTGGGAAAGAGCGGAAAAAACATGGAAATAGTTCTGCAACAAGCCTAGGACGCAGATGCACATATATTCATTTTACAAGAACCATGGATCTTGCTTAAAGACGGAGAGCTCACTATTAAAAGCCACCCGGCTTTGATAGTTTTGTGCCCTTTGACAATATAGCACCACGATCGCACTTGCGTGTCATCACTTTTGTGAGAAAAAGGACCCAGGCTACTCAAATAACACCCTCGATAACAAGCCAGACCTCAGACTACTGTTTCGTGCACGCTGGTGGACTGATATTTATAAATGTCTATCGTGCTCCAGGCCGCAGCGGGACTTTGAAACCATTGTTAAGTTGGAAGCCGAGTGGTCCGGTAGCAGTGTGGGGCGTCTTCAACTTTGTCTCACAGTACTGGTAGCTTTTAACAAAGCGCCAATACGGAAACGGGGATCTTATCATGGGGTGGGCTCGTAGAAATAATCTGCAGCTATTAAACACCCTAGAGAAAAGTACTCATCGCGATGGAAATGTGCTGGATTTAACCTGGAGTAACACGATGATATTCGCATCAGTTTCAACTCGGTTCGACTGTAAATCAGACCAGTTTACTATTGAAGGCTCAGTCGACATCCTGGATTTTCAGAGCTATCTAGGATTCTACGACTAGTACGCGTGAAATACTGTGATCTAGAAGAGTTTTCTCTATGCTTGAAGCAATGGGTAATACATGGGCCCCTTATTAGTCAAATCAAAATTGACAACTACAAAAGGAATTTGATTCAAGTTCTTCAAGACGCGGTCAAAGTGTAGGATAGGTACCCGCAATAGGCAGAGGAAAAACAGCACCCTGGTGGACTGATGACTGCAAAAAGCGACATAATGACCATAGGATAGCTAAAGCTACATCTGAAAACGTAGAACTAACACGAAAGGCGTTCGGAGCAACAGTGAAGGCAGCGAAACGCGAATTCTGGAAAAAAAAAGTCGACGCAGCAGAGGCAGAAACTCAAGTGTTTAAACTGATGCGATTGGTTAAACCTAAGGCGGCAAAGGAACCTCCTCCACAGTTATCACCCTACCAGTGGCTTTCAGATCCACTAGAACGGACGATTACACTACGGGACTCCCTTTTTGCAAGGTATGACGCGAGAAACGATATTGATCCATGGGAGAATAGTTAACCAGAGCGTATTCCGTGAACCGGAGAGGTTTTACTGGAAGATGTCACAGCAGCAACTATTTGGAGTAAAGAAATCGTCTCGGGTTTCGACAAAATTGTTGAAGCTTTGTCGTGGAGTGATAGATATGAGAGTGAGGTTTATGGGTCACGATGTATGAGATAACTGAGGTGTGGATGTATGAGTTCCTTACTATTGTTGTTGTACTAGTTAGGGTTGTATTATCTATATACAAAAAGGATTTTTCCATCTACAAGTGGGCCAGATCGCTTAGATCTGGCTAGCGGCTTTCGCCATCTTCTTCCTTCTCCCCCGCATGGCATCACGTGTTATACAACTACTGCTCACCATGAAGTCCGAGGATGAAAAGCGTTAGATTACAACAAAAATTACCGTCCGACTTCTCAAGGCCTGCTAGAAGACGATATAAACTTTTATCAGGGATCTCTTCCAGGCATGTTTGAACTTGGAATATTTTCCGACGTCTTTCAAAGTGGCTGAAGTCGTGCTACTTCCAAAACCAGACCGCGACCTTACCAGCTCAAAGAGATGGCGACTAATATTACTACTCTCCTTTTAAGGTAAGGGGCTTGAAAGACTAGTAGCTAAACGGATATCCTTGCTCGCAATACAGCACAAAGCAGTACCCACACAACTATTCGGCGCGCTACCAGGACGCTTAGCAGTCGACTTGGTATCATGTGTTATACATGATGCAGAAGCTGCAATGAGATCTAACAAAGTTACAGCAA